AAAAATTAAATTAAAAAAAAAAAATTTGTTCTTCTACCAAAAAAAATAAATCCCCCAGAGCACAAAGGTTGCATCTGTAATTTATTGGCTTTTCTGTACTACCCTACATAGCACACTGCATTCGTTGCTCAGTGAATGCTTTTTATTGGTTAGGTTTATTGAGGTATAATTTACATATTTTAATATTCACTCTTTTAAGTGTACAGTTCAGTGAGTTTTGTAAATGCATATAGTTATGCAACTGCCACCACAGTCAAGATCTAGAACATTGCCTTCACCACAGAGGGTTCCTTTGTGCCCCTTTACAGTTCATTTCTTGCCCTACCCCTAGCTCCTTCCTGGCAACCGCTGATCTGATTTCTGTCCCTATAGTTTCACCTTTTCCAGAATGTCATCTAAATGGAATCAAACAAAATGTAGGCTTTTGTGTCTGCCACCTTTCACTTAGCATAATGCAAAATTCATCCATATTGTTGTATATATCAGTAATATACCTGGATGTACCACAGTTTATTTATCGATTCACTAGTTGACGGGTATTTAGGCATTTCCAGTTTGGAGCTATTAACAAGGGTGATAGAAGCATTCATGAATAGGTCTTTGCTATAAATGTTAGCATACAGGTTATGTGGACACATGTTTCTCTTGGATAAATGCCCAGGCGTAGGATTGCTGGGTTGTATGGTGAGTGTGTGTTTAACTTTATAAGAAACTGCTTAACTGTTTTCCAAAGTAGCAGTATCATTTTGTCATTCCTACCAGCAAACTAGATTTCTAGTTGCTCTGCATCCTTGCCAGAACCTGGTATTATCAGTCTTTTTAATTTAATTTAGCTATTCCAGTGGGTATGTTGTGGTATCTCATTGTGGTTTAAATTTGCATTTCTCTTCCAACAAACATTAAGCATCTCTTATTGTGCTTATTTGCCATGGGAATGTCCTCATTGGTAAAACGTCCAATTCTTTTACCTATTTTGTAAACATTGGGTTTTTCTTATTATTGAGTATATATGTGTATATTTGTATGTACGTATGATATATATATGTATGTATGTGTAATATATATATATGTATGTATGTATACACACATAAGAGAGTGACAGAGACAGAGACAGTCTCTGGAATACATATATATTCCAGATATACCCTTTATCAACTATGTTTTGCAAATATTTTCTTCCAGTCTCTGGCTTATCTTTTCATTTTCTCAACAGTATGTTTTAAAGAACAGAATTTTAAAATTTTGATGAAGTCCAGTTTATCAATATTTTCTTTTCTGATCCATGCTTTCTTTTACTTATTCAAGAAACTTTTGCCTGACCCACGGTCATAAGGATTTTTCTCCTATATTTTCTTCTAGAAAATTTATAATGTTAGCTCTAGCATTTAGATATGTGATCCATTTCTAGTTAATTTTTGAAGGAAACATTTATTATTTGATGTGTAACTATGTTGCCCAGAATACAACCATTGAAAATCTAACTCAGGAATAAAAAGACATAAGTCATAGAATGAAGACCAGGGCCCTGTTAGAAAGCTTGGAATTGTTTCTTAAAGGCCCTGAATAAGAACATTTTATATATACTTTTTAAATTAGCACAGCTTTGCTATTTAAAGATTTGTGTTTCAATAAATTTTGAAATTCCAGGTCACAGATGCTATCAAGAGCAAAATCCTCAGGTGGGCTGGCAGATGAAGGACACCCCTCTGGGTATTCTTGATTAACCTGCTGGATGTTGAGAAAACTCCAAACCTATTTTATTAGCTGTGAAATGGGTGTGATCATACTTGACATGAAGTTACATTATAGGCTTGCATAATCTGAGTCAGAAACCGTGTAGAGGGTCCACAGGGATCCCAAATTTAATTGTGATTATTGCTAATTATACTAATTCTCAATGAAAACTGCTACCAGCAAGCTTGCCCATGACATCACTAATAAGGGGTCCATTGACTTGCATGTGTTGTGAGCATATTAATTGTAATTATTGCTTTGGCAGCTACAATGTCTAACTCCATAGGTGTTTGTTCCATTAGTGATTCATTATTTCAAAGTATTATGGCAATGATGAGTCTGTTACCAACCAAGTCCCTCCTGTGATGAAATGTGATTATTTTGTGGGATTTGTAACTCTTCGTCCATGACTCAACTCATTCTGCCCTCAACACATGGGACAGTGGTTTAAAACTGGAATGGGAGAAAATGATTTCAGTTCAACCACTGGGGTTTTTTCTTTTTTTTAACCCTGGGAGCAGGTGCCTTCCCATAAATATTTTTCTGAACTGGAAGTTGCCATGGAAAGTGGGTGGGTGGTCTAGATATCAGACTAAGGGCCTGGCAGCCAGTGGTCTGGATCTATCTTTGTGTCTAAAGGCCCTGGGCAATGGCAATAAATACAGAAGTCCGAAGAAGTGATGTGGCCCTGAGCCTGAACTCAGCAAAAAAGATAAAGAGAACTGCCTTCCAACAACTATTGTTAAACACTTAGCACTTTGTATTTGACATGCTTTCAACATTTACTTACTCTCCCTGCAGCCCTGTGAGTTAGGGCAGGACTCTCACAGGGAGAAAAGGAGAAACCGGGAGGAGGTGATCAGGGCTTCACTGTCTGCTGGGCCTTTTCAGCTGGTCTTTGATACCATTTTGAATTATGAGTTTTTAGGGGTTGGAAGCCCTTGCTCTTTCAGTAAAGTTTTTTCCCCTTAACCTTTTAGCATTAAAAACATTCAAAAGTAGAAAGAAACGTATAATAAACTCCCATGACTTCATCTTCAACTATTATAAAGTCATGACCAATCTAACTTTATCTATCTCCCGACCCTATCCCCCCACCCTGCTGAATTATTTTAGAGCAGATCCCAGATCTATCTGTTGATCTATAAATATTTTGATACCTGCCTCTAAAAGATAAGGATTTTCTTAAGACATAAATTGTTACACCTAAAAGAAATTATTAATAATTCCTTTATATCCAGTCAATTTCTCCAACTATCTCAGAAATATTTTTTCTTCAGTTTTTTTTTCTATTATAACCAGAATTCAAATTAAATTCCATGAACTACAATTAGTTGATGTCTCTAAAGCGTCTTTTAATCTAGGGGTTTCCTGACTGTCTTGCTTTTGTTTTTTCTTGTAATTTATTTGTTTAAGAGATCGAATCATTTTTCTTGTAGGATTTTGTCCTTCATTTTGTTGATTGCATCCCCATACTATTTTTTTTTTTAAAAACTTTATTTGTTTCTTGTACTGTCTTCAAGTTGTGGTTGGATCTAGAGATTCGATCAGATTAGCATTTTTTCTCTAAGAGCACATCATAGTGCTGTATGTTTCAATCAAAAAGCTCGTGATTGTCTCTCTTTTCATTGGTAGCCATTGATGATTGTTGTCTGGACCCATTCATGCATTAGGAGTATCAAAGTGGTGATCTTCTACCACATATTAGCTAGAATACTTCCATAAAGAGAAAATTCCCCTCACATACTTGTTGGTTAACCAGTGATATAGTTTGTATAGGAGAGGCAGAATGAATGCTTGATTTCCCCTATATATTATCAAAATATTGAGTTAGTTCTCTAACAGCCTCCCAAGTTATTCAGTTAAGTTTTTTAATGTTCCAAATTTCAGTGTGATTTTATGGATTTAAACATGTTTATTTGTCTACTTTGTTGGATCTGTTATCATTGTGGGTGCTCAAACGGGCCCATATTTGACCAATGGCACCCCTTTCAAGTTGGCTTCTGAGTCTTTCTGACAAAGCCCTTGTATTGTTTCCTACGGCTGCTATAACAAAGTATCACACACTGCGTGGCTTAAAACAACAGAAACTTATACTATAGTTCTGAAGGTTAGGAGTCTGAAATCAAGATGTTAGCAGGATTGGTTTCTTCTGAGGGGAAAATCTGCTCCATGCCTCTTTCCTGGCTGCGGGCACTTGCCAGCAATCCTTGCTTTCCCTTGATTTGCAGAAGTATCCCTCCAGTCTCTGCCTCCGCCATCACATAGTGTTCTCTCCCTGTCTGTAGCTATGTCTAAACTTCCCACTTTTATACAGATACCAGTCATTGGATTAGGGGTCACCCTACTCCAGTATCACCTCATTTTAACTTGATTACATCTGCAAAGATCCTATTTCCAAATAAAGTCATATTCACAGGTACCAGAGGTTAGGCTTTGAACATATCTTTTGGGGGACAAAATTCAACACCCAACAACACCAATAGTCTTTGATAACTTTATTGCTTTCTGGTAAGACAAAATGTTGCAGACTCATTTTTTTTACATTTCCCATTGCAGGCCCAGAATCAGCTCTCACTCGTATAAGTTGGAAAGGATGTTTAGGGACTACAATCTGAGCACTAGGAGTGTGCATTTTTACTGAGTTAGTCATTACTTCTAGGCCTCTTTAAAGGACAGAAATTGGAAATGCTTTTATAATGTTAAAAATAAAACACATTATAAATTTATAACTCTCACTTCCAATCCAATTTCCAGACTCCAAGATTTATCCCCATCAAACTATCACCTACTACTCCTTTTTCCCATGGGAAAGTCCTCATTTTCAATGACACATTACTCTTTTACTTTATCCCATAATACACACACAGCTGTCTCAAAATAAAACTAACACTGCCACCAACAATGTGATCACTGAAAACAGTTTATGATTTTTAAAATTATTCTTGCAATTTTTTTTGTCCTCAGAGTACATTCCACTCAGGATGGATAGTGAATTTATTGCATGTTAATGTCATGTGAAACAGTTTTTCTATGTGTAGTTATGCCACCAACGTGGTGCACAGTTAGGTTCATTTGTACCCATTTATTTTCAGTGCTTAAGAGCCGTCTTTTTAAATTAAATTTTGTTTTTATAAATATGTAGAATATTTTCAGAGCTTCGGGTTGTCTAATCTACAATGCAAAGTATAATCGCAGAAATCTACCGCTGTGCCTGTTCTTTCTACCTTGTCTCCTCCTCCTTCAGAAGTAATCATTTAGGGACTTCCCTGGTGGTCCAGTGGTTAAGATGCCGCACTTCCAATGCGGGGGTTGCGGGTTCAAACCCTGGTCAGGGAACTAAAATCCCACATGCCGCAAGGCCAAAAAAAAAGGAGAAAGAAAAGAAAAGAAGTAATCATTTAGACATTTTTATCCTTGCATTTTTGCATGTTGATCTTGTATTTTGCAAGTTTGTTGAACTCATTTATTAGTTCTAATAATTTTTTAGTAGATTCCTTAGGATTTTCTAGGTATAAGATCATGCCATCTGTGAATGGAGATAGTTTTCATTGTTCCTTTCCAATGTGGATGATTTTTGTTTGTTTCTTACCTAATTGCCCTGGCTAGAATCTCCAGTACAATGTTGAATGAAAGTGGCAAGAGAAGACATCCTTGTCTTGTTCCTCATTTTAGGGGAAAAACCTTCATTCCTTCACTATTAAGTATGATGCTAGCTGCAGGTTTTTCATAGATGCTCTTTATCAGGTTAGGAAGTTTCCTTCTGTTTCTAGTTTGTTGAATGTTTTTATCATGAAATAGTGTTGGATTTTGTCAAATGCTTTTCTACATCTATTGAGATGGTAATATGTTTTTTGTGTGTTTTATATTCTGTTGATATGGTATATTACGTTAATTGGTTTTCAGATGTTAAGCCAACCTTGCATTCCTGGGTTAAGTTCCACTTGGTCATGGTGAATAATTCTTTTTATATGTTGTTGGGTTGGTTTGCTACTACTTGTTGAGGATTTTTGTGTCTATATTCATAAGAGATACTTGTCTGCAGTGTTCTTTTCTTATGTCTTTGTATGGTTTTCATAGCATAGAATGAGGTGAAAAGTGTTCCTTCTAATTTTTTGGAATAGTTCATTTTTTACTATACAAAAATATGTGTATATATATTTTGTGTGTGTTCTCATTATATTTTATACCTTGATAGTAGTCCACTGAGTGGATATACCAATGTTTTTTCAACCAGCTCCTTATTGATAGACATCTGAATTGTTTTCAGTCCTTTGCTATTACAACTCACATGGCACTGAATTACTCTAGTAATATGTCTTTTCATATGCCTCTCCATGTATGGTACAGATTCTCAGAAGTAAGATTGATGAGTCAAAGAGTAAACATGTGTGAACTTTGCTAGATATTGCCAAATTCCTTTCCTTCGAGCTTGAACCATTTTGCTTTTCTTTTTCCCCCACACTGTGCGGCTTGTGGGATCTTAGTTCCCCAACTGGGGACCAAACCTGGGCCCTCAGCAGTGACAGCACAGAGTCCCAAACACTGGACCACCAGGGAATTCCCACATTTTGTTACCAAAAAAGAATGACTATGCACAGCTTCACCAACAAAGTTGTTTTTGTTTTTGTTTTTGTTTTGCCATTCTGGTAGATAAGGAATAGTAACTCTATAGATTTTTAATTTGCATTTATTTTATTATGGGTGAGTTTAAGCAACTTTTTATGTGGCTAAGGGCCATTTGTACATCTTTCTTTATGAACACTCTGTTCATATCTCTAGCCTATTTATCTATGAAGTAGTTGAACGTTTTCTTCTGTTTTTAGAAACTTTTTTGTATTAGAATATTGAAATTTTTGCCTGTAGTTTAAATTGCAATTTTTTCCCAGAATAACACTTGTCTTTTTACTGTGCTCATGGTATTTTCTTTTCCCATGCAAACGTTTTGATTTTCAGTGTTTATAACCAATCCTCTAGATTTTATTTCTGAACGAAGCAGCAGCATAGGAACAATTTAGAGAGAAAGAACCCTGATCTGAGCAGCCCAAGTCCAAAGAAATCACTGGCTGAATGCCCAGAGACCTCAACCTAATGATTCCCCTCAGAGCCACTGATGTCCATGTTCCTCCTCCTACCATTTTAATGCAATTATTACCAGTAAACCTTAGGTTTCTGAGTAACGCTCCCTCTTCTAACCTAGAATCTGTTTTCCTCACGGAGCTTTTGTGGACTTGGACGGATGAGAGCGATAATGTGGGTGTGTGGACAGGGAGGAGGATCCCAAGGGCACGAAAGCTTTGGATGAAGCTGAGGGGCCCCAAACAGTGCAAAACGTGGCTGACAAATGTATTTCCCTCTAAGGCCGCTGCCACGAGAACAGAGAGATGTTTCCTTAAACTCATATTCCTCTTCTTGGAAGCTAATTGTGGCTTTTACCAGGGCTTCTTTTGCAGGATAAAACAAACACTTCAGGTCTTGAAAGTGTCTGGGAAAGACTTTCACAGTTTTGTGGATAATGCTGTACTTCTTGCATTTTTATAGACTTACAGGCAGTAGGCTTGGTAACTATTCATTATGTAAAGGTAACAGCATAATAGTCTGCATTTCCATCTTTTCCTGTGTCATACCCTTGGCAGGTGAGTTCTGCCAAACTGATTGCACTCGTTTCACACATTTGGGTTCATGTGTTTATTTTTGCCTATCTTAAATTTTTTTAATTCTTAAGTATTTGAAATATGATTTTTTTTAAAAAACCCAGAAAGTGACATAACAGTCACCACATACCTACCACCCATTCTTCAACCCGAATTCCTACATGAAGCATTTTTTAAAAATTAAACTTCAAATACTGGATTTGAACTACTCTCTGCATTACAGAAAGTTATATACATTTACACAAAATGTGACTATGCATGTAAACATGTAAATATACACTTTGTTTTCACCTGAGCTTGAATAAAGTTGGGGCAGGGGTTGTTTTTAGGCTTCTGTTTCTACTCTGCTCCTGATAATTGATTCCTGTGTTTTTTTGGTTTTTTGTTTTTTTTGCGGTACGCGGGCCTCTCACCGTTGTGGCCTCTCCCGTTGCGGAGCACAGGCTCCGGACGCGCAGGCTCAGCGGCCATGGCTCATGGACCCAGCCGCTCCGCGGCATGTGGGATCCTCCCGGACCGGGGCACGAACCCGTGTTCCCTGCCTCGGCAGGCGGACTCTCAACCACTGCGCCACCAGGGAAGCCCTGGTTCCTGTCTTATATCTCTATAGAGCTTGTCCTTTCTCCTTCTTTTCATGACTTGCAATAGAAGATACACTGGACCTGATTTCTTTCTTTAACTGTCCCCAAACTTGCAGTTGGTTTAGGAACTGGGCACTCCTCAACACGGAACATAAAGAAAGGGTCCTGTATCTGGTTATACCTTAGAAGTGGTCCCATTAACTTTAATATACCCCTTGCTACTGGGTTGTGTTGAACTTCCAGGAATCTGAGCTTTATCTCTAGATAGGAATTTAGATAGATAGTGTGCAAAAGTTAAGAGCACATTACAATTCTGACAAATTAGTTCCTAATTATTTGGCGCCGGGCTCTGCCCATATTGCATGCAGAGCAGGCCTTTACCAGGACACTTGGAGAGTTTTGTAGCTTAAACTGATTTAATTTAAAACAAGTGGATCCATGTGATTATCTTCAACCACAAATACGTAACATAATGTGTAATATATTTAAAAGGCAAGAGGAAATTTAGTAATGGAATTTCAAAACTGTTTGAAAGAAAGGCACTTTGAGGGGAAAGAAAGGAAGAAGTGAATTGGGGACGCCAGCTTGATTATTTTCAAATACCACAGCTGGACTTGGATTTGTACAATAAGAGTTGGGGTGTTGTAAAGGACACCAGCAGGAATCTAAGTGCTGATGGAGGAACAAATGACAAGCAATAAATGACAAGGCTTCAGATACCCAAAACACTGCAAAATGTGTGCACTCTTAATTTATTTTCTATAGGAAAATTTCCTGATTTACATACTCTATCAGGGAAATATCTAGGTAGAAATACAGTCTTTGTTGTGATCATTTTACTCATTTATTTAATTTTGATTACTGGCTACTCATGCACTCTATTGCTATTCCAACACATGTGCCTTCCACATAGACCAATCCTATAGTAGTTATAATAACAGCAAATACTCACTGAGCTCTGAATATGTCCTGAACATTGTTCTAAGCATTACCTCATTTAGTTCCTACAACAACCATATGGGGCTGATACTATTATGATTTTGCTCTTGCAGATTAGGAAGGAGCAGAGACGTTCACTTGCCTAAGATGACACCTAGAATGTCATTCTTAACCATGATATAATAGTGCCCTCCTAAGCATACCAAACATCTGGTGACAAAGCCCTTGTGTAATGAAAGAACTTCTCAAGACCGGATGATTTTGAGTAAATATGCAGGACTAAATATTTCAGAACTACAAAAATAAATGAGATTCTCAATAAAGTGTGACAATAGGCTTTCCAAGCATTCGGTGTGTGAATTTTAGTACATCTGTTTGAAAACCAACCACATTTCTTCATAATCACACCCAGTGTAATAGATTATTAGGTTGAACTATACAAAAGTGCCTACAGTTGACTCTTTTTTGACCTAGAAAAAATTGCTAAATTTCAAATGGTTCAATCTAATACTTTTGACACTATTGAAAAAATGATACTTCTTAGGGATCTGAGCTGTTTGTCCATCCATCAGCAATAGTTATTGAGGGTTAACTATGTCACATGGATCTTGCCCCCAAGAAATTCTCAGTTTTCAACAGGAGATGGACCAAGTATACAAATAATTACAATGAAAATAAGATTATTTTGACCCTGAAGTTCTGCATAAAATGTCTTGGGGATATTCAGACAAGGACATGCACGTGAGCCTAGAGAAGGTAGGGAAGTCTTCACACAGAAGAGGAGGTCTGATTGGGATGTAATGGAGGAATAGAAGTTTGCCACTACTGCTGAAAAGGACATTAAAAACAACTAACAGATTTTAGCTTTCAATGATGAATCATATTCCTTTAGAATCGTTGGGTTTTCTTAGGCACAGTATTGTAGACATGCTGACCTACCTGCTTTCAAATCTGGGCTATGCCTCTTCAAAGCTTTATGTCTTGGGACAAGTTATTTCTTGTCTATAAGGTGGAAATATCAATACCTGCCTCATGAAATTATTTTGATCAATTGCATAGCGTATGCTAAAAGCTCAGCAAAATCATACATGCACAGTACATAACCAATGGTGACTATTTTTGTAATTTTTGCCTAGTTTACTTCTTTGTTAACCAGCACATCACT